TGTCCTCAGAGTGAGGAACGTTGTCCTCAGAGTGAGGAACGCTGTCCTCAGTGTGAGGAACGCTGTCCTCAGAGTGAGGAACGCTTTCCTCAGAGTGAGGAACGTTGTCCTCAGAGTGAGGAACGCAGTCCTCAGTGTGAGGAACATTGTTCTCAGAGTGAGGAACTCAAATATAAACCAACTTAAACATGATCTCTCTTGTGAAAAAGAAAAAAGTAATCGCCTTCAATCTGATCTTGCTTTGCTAGTAAAAGAACGGAATATTGAGGTTGAGGAACTTAATGAAATAATAACTTCCCTTCAGTGTAAAATTAGTACTGTTGAAAAGATTAATGACCAACTACGAGCCTCAAATATGTGCATAAATTTGGAGACAACGAACAATATTAAACCTAACCACATTGACGAGAAGTCTGTCTCCTTTAATCGTACAAAGTTAGCAATTTCTAAACAAAGCGAAACCGAACATCAAAATAATAATAACCGCTCATTTAACGATCTTCAAGTTGCCGAGTTTAATGACACCTACGCTTCTCTTCAGACAGAACCAAATTTAGTGCCCGCACCAGATATTAGCGGTACCAATGTTTCTTTTATGGCAGAGAATAATCGAGAAATTAGTTGTAACAATGCCGAGTGTCACATACCTGTTATTGACAATCAATGTGCTGCTTTATTGCGAAGTCCAACTGAATGTCCTCAACCGAGCGAAAATGATAGCTTATCACATAAAGGGCCTAAATCAACCAAGCATACAACAACATACACTAAATCGAAGTTACTTAATCCAGAAGGAATCACGCATTACGTCGGCAAGCGAAGTAAACACTACGATAAACACCATAAACTAAGTTATTCTGATTGGACAAGTCGACTCCCTTTGATTGAGCAGTTTCCTAAACAGCTAAACCAACATGATGAAATAAAAGGCAAAGCGAACAAACAAGGAAAAACTCATTTTAAGAAATTACAGAATGGACTCACGAAACCCCCACGATCGCAAAAGGGTATTCATTCCCTTCTGATGCGTACACCTGTTACTCCCCCAAGAGGCGTAGCACATCAAAATTTTCGGATACGGCGTTCGTACCACCGTGCTCCGGATTGGTACAGACATTTGGATCTGGTCAGCCGGATAACCAGAATGTAACATTGCCGTCCTATACTATATTAGACCATGGGCCAGGCATGGACTGGATGAACCACCTAGCTTTGCGTATGGAAATTCCGGTTAGAATTACTCGCCGCGAAAATTTGAGAAACAATAAAACAGTCCATGCGTATAATAATTAAATCCCACTACAGGCTAGTGAGAACCACACTAGCAGAAATACGTGTAGTACCCCATTAACCCCAAACGATCAGATATCAGTTCCCTCTAGTCTCAACATTGTTCATTTAAACATTCGCTCGTTAAGAAATATCGTTCACCTTACTGAGGTCAAAGAACTAGTAAAGTTAAATAATATCGATGTCCTCACAATTTCCGAATCATGGTTAAATTCCTCAGTGGCGAACCGTGAGATAGCAATCGACGATTATAAGATCCATAGACTTGACCGGTTACACAAGAAAGGTGGAGGTGTCTGTGCTTATATCAAGAAGAATATTAAAGCAACTGTCTTAAAAGATTTATCGAAGGTGTCAGTCTCTAACTTTCATCAACTATGGATAAATCTACAATGCCAAAAAAACAAATCAATAATAATTTATGTAACCTACCGACCACCTGACACTTTTCTAAATTGTTTCGAAGATTTACTTAAGCCAAATTATGTTCAGGCTTTAACTTTGAATAAACAGATTTTAGTGCTCGGTGACTTAAATTGTAACATGCTAGAAAACGGCCAAGAGCGGAGAGCGCTAACAAATTTTTCTACAGAATTAAATCTCACACAGATTATTAAAACTTCAACTAGAATCACGGCGACGTCCCAAACGCTTATTGATGTTATTCTAGTCTCATCCACAGCGCTTGTTCTTGAGAGTGGTGTTATTAACACTTCTATCAGTGACCACCTACCAGTGTACGTCCTACTAAAGTTAAAGGCCCCAAAGATGCCAGCATGTTACATTACAACTAGGAGTTATAAAAACTATAATCCCTCACTATTTTCTTCTGACCTTGTCACTAAATCGGATCGTCTGTTATCCATATTATCCAACACCAACGTCAATACAATACTCGAAACCTTCAAAGATGTTCTTCACTCAACTCTCGACGTGCATGCACCGTTAAAAACCTTCAAAATTCGAAATTGATCATGTCCATATGTCACCAATGAAATAAAAGAACTCATGAAGTCTCGGGACCTACACCTCCGTCGGTTTCAACTGACACGTGATGAAGGTGATTGGGTAGTTTACAAAGAATATCGTAATAACGTAAAAACCAAAATTAAAGCCGCAGCGAAGGACCACACCTTCAACGAAGTAAGAGAACATAAACACAATTCGAGATCCCTATGGAAAATAATTAATAATATAATTCCCTCGGAGGAAAAGGAAACACAAGTTTATAGTAAAGATCCAAAAACAGTTGCAGAAGATTTTAACCTTTTTTTACTTCTGTGGGACGGAAAGCTGCTGCGACAGCCGAAAGTTTAGCCAAAGACAACAATGTTGCACTGTCAAATCCTCTGTCAAATGTAATCACTTATCCATCTGATCAACTGTTCAATTTCCAATCCGTTACTTGTACAGAGGTTCAATGCATTATCATGGCTATGCCAAGTAATAAGTCACCAGGACCAGATAAAATAGGCATGCGTGTCATCAAAGACTGTCTTCCAATCATACTGGGTCCTCTTACGCATATGATAAATTGCTCTCTAATGACAAGCACATTCCCTGACCTATGGAAGATTTCTGAAGTTATACCCCTACTAAAAGAAGGAGACCACGAGATAGCCTCAAACAATCGGCCTCTCTCACTACTCGAGGTAGTTTCAAAAGTTTGTGAAAAAGTTGTTCTAAATCAATTTAGCTCCTACCTCAAAGAATTTAATCGCATATCGCCACATCAAAGCGGGAATAGGAGTCTTCACTCCACCGAAACCTTAAACATATTTGTTACCGATACGATGTTGGAAGCCATAGACAACAAAAATCTAACGGCACTAATTTTATTAGATTTATCCAAGGCATTTGACAGTGTCAGTCATTCGATTTTATTACACAAATTGAGTTGTATCGGTGCTTCACCCGAAGCTGTTAAATGGTTCCAAGACTATTTAACAGGCAGATCCCAATACGTGCGCATTGGATCCACCACGTCATCAGCTCGCCCAATAACCCATGGCGTTCCACAAGGTGCAATACTATCACCACTTCTGTTTTGCATCTATATTAATGATCTGCCAGGGAGCATACAATCGTGTAACCTTGATTCATACGTAGACGACTCAAAGCTTTACAAATCATTCTGCATCTACGACTTGGAACAGACAACTATCAATTTAGAGGCAGATCTACAAATAGCAGCCAAGTGGTGTTTGGAGCACCAATTACTGATCAATCCAGAAAAAACTAAATTCCTTTTAATCGGTTCAAGACCCATGCTGCAGAATGTACCTACAGAAATATCGCTAACATTTTTAGGAAAGACTATAAGACCTGTTTTATTAGCTAAAGATTTGGGAATCAATTTGGATTCGTACCTATCCTACGACGACCACATATCTAAACTCGTTTCGTCGTGTATGAGAAATCTATGTCAAATAAATCGCGTGAAGGATAGTTTCGATAATGAAACATTAAAATTGGTCATTGAGACACTTGTAATTAACAAGCTTCTGTACTGCTCTACGGTGTGGTCCAACACGTCATCTAACAATATCAATAAGTGCAGAACTTCGCGTGCAGAGTTATATCAGGGGTAGGAAAGTTCGATCACATAACTCCGGCGTTGCGCGAACTAAATTGGTTGCCAGTGGAAAAGTTATTATTGGAAAGGGATACTGTAATGGCTTACAAGTGTTTTAATGGACTTGCACCTGACTAACTAGTAGATAAATTTATAAAGCGTTCCGACATACATGATCGATCGACAAGAAATCATGACCTCTTGGACATCCCTCTGTATAAATCTGCTACAGGTCAAAGAACATTTAATTACCGGGGTGTTAAAATATGGAATGACTTGGATGATAAACTAAAAAATATTACATCAATAAAAATTTTTGAGAAAAAACTTAGGGAGATTTTACTAAAAGAATCCTATTAAATACATTTAATATTTTATACTCTTTGTACATATTTTAACTAATTTTAAATAAGTATATGTAACATAGGTAGTTTTAGTAGTAATTTATAGTAATTTTAATATGTAATGTAGTGTTGAAAAGCCCTTAGGGGAACACGCAATAAAGTATCTATCTATCTATCTATCTGTCCTCAGAGTGAGGAACGCTTTATTCAGAGTGAGGAACGCTGTCCTCAGAGTGAGGAACGCTGTCCTCAGAGTGAGGAACGCTTTGCCTCAGACTGAGGAACGCTGTCCTCAGAGTGAGGAACGCTGTCCTCAGAGTGAGGAACGCTGTCCTCAGAGTGAGGAACGCTGTCCTCAGAGTGAGGAACGCTGTCCTCAGAGTGAGGAACGCTGTCCTCAGAGTGAGAACGCTGTCCTCAGAGTGAGGAACGCTGTCCTCAGAGTGAGGAACGCTGTCCTCAGAGTGAGGGACGCTGTCCTCAGTGTGAGGAACGCTGTCCTTGGAGTGAGGAACGCTGTTCTCAGAGTGAGGAACGTTGTCCTCAGAGTGAGGAACGCTGTCCTCA